AGTTAGAAGTGGAGGGGAGGGTGTAGTAATGTGTTTGTTTTTCTTAACTGCTTTCCAGATGGAGTAGTTAGAAGATGCTGTGGGAGAAAGGTTTTGTATGTAGTGTTGAAAACTTTCGTTGAAGTTGTTTGAGAGAAGTTGTTTGAGTTCATAGGTGGCTTTGTTAAGTTGACGCTTGACGGTGCGGGAGTGGGTTGCGTGCCAGATTCGTCGAAGACTTCTTTTGTGAAGTATTTTTTGTTTGATTAGAAGAGGACAATTGGAGGTCTGATGTACTATTGGTGATTCTGGTGTTGAGGACCATCCGGCCCATTGAATTAGGTTGTTAAAGGAGTTTATTGCTGCTTCTATGTCGGAGGGGGTTTTTAGTGGGACGTGTAGGTCTAAATGCTCTGTGAGGAGGAGACGGAATAATTCCCAGTTGGTTTTATTGTTGCAAAGGCTGGGGTGGGGTGTACGTAGTGAGATGTTGAATGATAATGTGATGAGGACTGGAGTATGGTCTGAGGATAGTTCAAGGCATGACTTGGCGGCTATGGAGTTGTGGGGGATGCCTTTGGAGATACAAAAGTCCACCAAATCCGGAAGTTTGTTTCGATCTGTTGGCCAGTAGGTGGGTTTGCCAGATGAATGGTGGTTGTAGTGGAAGCGTTCAATGAAGTTTTGAATTGTGCGTCCTCGGGGCGAGATGAGTCGAGATCCCCAGTCCGTATGCTTGGCGAATTACAAATTTAGATGCATTTTTTGCTACCAGCAACAGCAAGCAGTACATGTATTGAGAATAAAAAGGTAAAATATTTAAACGTCTAAAAAGTCCCCGACAAGATATTTTGGGGCTCACATTAAAAATAACTCTTATAATTCTCTTCTGCGTTATAAAAACGATTTTGCTGTTAACAGCATTTCCCCAAAAGGGAAGACCATACGTAATGACAGAGTGAAGATATGCAAAATATACCATCCTTAAATTCTCTATCATTAAAACAATTTGAGGGTTCTAATAGCAAAACAAGCAGAATTCAACTTAGTAATTACTCTGGTTATATGCCCTTGCCAGGATAATGTTGAATCAAGTGTCACTCCCAAGAAATCAATGCAGTGTGTGCTATTTATTTACTTGTCTTGGTTATTATGAATTGAATCATCATTAGCCATGGTTCGATGGACAGCATGCTGAACCAAAACGTGTATTCGATAAATTCTCTAAATAACATAAACTTTTGTTATGAGATGCAAAAGTAGGTAGGGAAGACATTTTCAAACAAACAATTTTTGAATTAGAGTATACACAAAATTATTAATGATAATGGAGTTAGAGTAGTAAAATTTGCCACATCCAAAAATCTTATTGTCAAAAGTACAATGTTCCCGCATCGTAACAGTCATAAATGTACATGGACATCTCCTGATGGGAAGATGCACAACCAAATTGACCATATTTTGATAGGTAGGAGGTGGCATTCAAGTATACTTGATATCTGATCATTTAAGGCAGCAGGTTGTGTTACTGACCACTATCTGGTGGGGGCAAAATTTAGGGAGACACTGGCAGTGAGTAAACAAACAACACACAGAGTTCGCATGGAGAGGTTCAATCTCAAGAAATTAAATGAGGTAGAGGGTAAAGAGCAGTATTGTGTTGAAATCTCAAATAGGTTCGCGGCTTTGGAAAACTTAGACACTGAGGTGGATGTTAATAGAGCTTGGGAATCTGTTAGAGAGAATATCAAAATTTCAGCCAAAGAGAGTCTAGGTTATTATGAATTGAATCATCATAAAAGCCATGGTTAGATGAAGGATGCTCAGAATTATTAGACAAAAGGAAACAAGCCAAATTGCAGTGGTTACAGGATCCAACCGAAATAATTTGCGATAATCTGAACAATATAAGACATGAAACCAGCAGGCATTTCAGGAACAAAAAGAAGGAACATCTGAAAGACAAAATTGATGAGCTTGCAACGAACGGAACAAGAACATTAGAGACCTGTATAGAGGAATAAATGACTTTAAGAGGGGTTATCAACCTAGAAGTAACTTAGTGAAGGATGAGAATGGTGATCTGCTTGCAGACTCCTACAACATTTTGAATAGGTGGAGGAACTACTTCTCTCATTTATACAGATGAGCCGTTAATACCCGATTCCAGCCCTTCTGAGGATGAAATTGCTATTGCAAAGTTGAAAAGGTATAAATTGCCAGGTAGTGATCAAATTCCAGCAGAACTGATTTAAGGAGGAGGTGAAATATTATGTTATAAGATTCGTAAGCTAATTACTTCTATTTGGCATAAGGGGAAATTGCCTGATCAGGGGAAGGAATCTATTATTGTACCAGTTCACGAAAAGGCTGATAAAACTGACTGTAGTAATTATCGGAGGATATCACTGCTTTCAACTTCATACAAAATTTTATCGAATATTCTTCTCTCAAAGGTTAAGTCCATATATAGATGAAATTATTGGGGATCATCAATGTGGGTTTCAACGTAACAGATCAGATCTTTTGCATTTGTCAAATATTGGAGAAGAAATAGGAATACAATGAGATGGCATCAGCTACTCATAGACTTCAAGTAAACCTATGATTCAGTTAGGCGGGAAGTATTGTAGAATATTCTGATGAAGTTTGGGATACTCATGAAACTGGTTAGGCTGATTAAAATGTGTTTAAACGAAATGTATAGTAAAGTCCATATAGGTAAACATTTGTCTGATAAATTTGCTATCCAGAATGGTCTAAAACAAGCAGATGCTTTATCGCTACTCCTTGTCAACTTTGCTTTAGAATGTATCATTAGGAAGGTCCAGGAAAACCAGGTGGGACTGAAATTAAACAGGACACTTCAGCTGTTGGTCGGTGCCAATGATGTGAATCTACTGGGTGATAATAGAGATAACATAAAGAAAGACACACAAACTTTAATTGCCGCAGGTAAGGAGGTTGGTCTAGAAGTAAACACAGAGAAAACTAAATACATGTTGCTGTCTCATCACCAAAATGCAGGACAAAATCACGATGTAAATACAGGAAACAGAAATGTGGCACAATTCAGATTTTTG